ATATATTGGCACTCAACACTAGTATTAATACATAAGCATGTACCACACATCTTCCTTTCAAGAAATAGTTACACAACGGGAAATGAGAGGGATAGCGGAAAAGGAAGGAAGAGAAAGGAAAAAATATGAGGTAAGAAATAAATGGAAACAAAGCCTTTTCAGGTAGGGAGGAATGAGGGGTTGAAGGGAGGGCAGGGGAATGGGGAAAAAAATAAGAACCAAGATACATCATGCAGTTACAAGTTCCCAATGATGAATGTAAATGTATTACATAACTAAAATGTACCAATAAAAATTTTTGAGAAAAAAAAACAATTATACAATATTCACTATATCTCTACTTTTTTTACAAGTTTACAAATGAGTTGGAGTGGGGATGAATCAGAATGCACAAAAGGCAAAAACTGAGAGGCTTGTTTTGAGAAATTTCATCATCATGAACAGTTAGGGAGTACTGTTCAGACAGACAACTCTATAGATTTTATGTATTCTTTTAATTGTCAAATTTTTAGCCACTGTTATGTATCTTTCTTTCAATGTGGGGCTTCAATAAATATTATCATGTGCATATTAGAAGAAAGTAAAAGTGAAAACAAGAGCTACAAAATAAAACAAAAGGCTGGTCAGGAATGGCAGGCTCAGCAGAATGGAGTCAGGAAAGGAAACAGACCAGTTCCCTGACAGCTCTAAACTACTAATGTAAGCCCCTTTACCATCAAATATTTCTAACTCCTTTTTTACTCATTATATGGGAAGAGAATACTAACAGTTCTTCTTTGATTAATTCTAAATAATAAGGATGTTTTGCTTCTTCTAAAAAGACTTGGGGAGACAGAAGTATGTACTATGAACAATGTCACAGTTATCTCAACTTAAACCACTCTCACCTATTACTGTTAGATTTAGTTATAATGTTTAATAAACATAAAAAGAGAGTGGTGGGGGTGACAACTGTGATTTATTTAAATTCAATCATTCCAACATGGCAAAGGAAAATGGAAATCCTTATATATTAGAAGATTCAAATACACATTCAGATCTTTTGTCCTAACCTGTTCCCAGATACCTATTACTTCACATTTTTGATGCCCTAGACATTCTCCCATGTTCTGCTCTGGTCTTAATAAAAGAATGATACAGCTTGATAAACACATTAAAGGTGATTAGAAACAGTTAACACTGTGAGAAAATGCTAACAATCTCTCAAGAAAAGAGAAACAAACCTATTTCTGCCAAATAATTTAACATTTTTAAAAACTTATCAAATGTCCAAAAAAAAAGCTACTTCCAACTACTCATCATTATCAATGTAGAGATTGTCATTTATACTATCTGCTTATGCAGCAAAGGAGGTTTCTTAAATATATGAATGTATCATACTTTTAAAGCCAAATAGATATGTTACACAGAGACATATTAAAAATAACTAGGGCCAGGGATTTAGCTCAGTGGTGCTGCTGCCTGCTTTGCAAGCACAAGGTCCTGAGTTTGATCCCCGGTACCCAAAACAAAACAAAAAAAACTTACCCCAGTCTTCATCACTCGTCCTACTGAAGGAACGGTCCCTCAGAATTCTAAAATAATGATTTTTAGAATTAAATTGATTTAGAAAGGGGGGAAATATATACTTATCAAAACAACTATATAAACTTGATTAAAAATGAAAAAAGAAATACACACCCAGCATTGTTGACCACAACATCTACAATATAAAAAGATAACAGGTTACAAATATAAAAGCAAGCATATTAATCTGCATTTGCTTACCACTCACACTTTTTCAAAATGGGTATCTCCTACCCCCATGGTAAAGTAATGTAATAATATTATCAAAACAAAATTTTATACCTATAACAAAAAAACTGATTCATAAAAGTACAAATATCATATTGTATCATATTGTACCTTCTTCTTAAACATATATTTCAGATTTGCCACCCTGATCATGTACTGAAATTCTACCAGGTTATATATAGAATTTGCTGTGGTTAGTTTCTGAGGACTCGGAACCATAAGTCATCCTTCACTCAAATTGAAAATTCACTCAAAAAATTAAGTTTAAAGATCTTTCCATGCCACTCAAAAGGCAAAAGCTCAAAGAGAAAACAAAGTTAGAAACTGTTGCTATATTTGATATATAATTGTTGTACTCTCTCTGCAAAGAAAGCAATTATTTCTTTCAGATTAAACCTCCATCTTGTGGCTGTTTTCTCCCTAGGACCTCATGCCTTTACCATCTCTGTCAAATGAACACAGCTCTTATGAGTACAACTTAACATAACTAAAAAAACAAATAGCCTGGACCAAACAAAAGAGGAAGGCATATATTGAATTTACAAAAAGTAATGTCTTTCGAATTGCAAATATGTTAGGCTATCCATGGCAATTTTTCCCTCTAGAAATTCATTAACCTTTTAGTAAGAATGTGTGCAAGTAAAACAGAAGTATTATCTAGAGAAATATGGACTAAACAGTGTATTTGGAATGCTTCTTAATAAAGATTTTTACTATATATAATTCACCTTACAATTTGCAAGATATCAGATCATAAAAGTAACAAAGGTAAATTAAAAATATTTCATTAGGAAAGCAAAAAGAAATATCACCTATTCTTCCAAAAGCATCCAATGCTGTCTTCACTATCTTCTCTCCTGCTTCCACTGAATCTGAGGGAAAGAGAAAATAGCAAGAAACTTCAGTAATCACCTCATAAATGACTAAATTCTGTTTATCAGAGCACATGACTGATACTATTCACCCAAACATAATTCATTTCCAGGAAATACACATTTATGTGTATTAATAATAAAAGCACATCATAAAACACAGATGGTTTAATGTCACCAAAGCAATCAAGCCCTACACAATTTTTTAGCCTACAAAAAAAAAGAAGAGATGAGGGAGATATACATTTTGCAAATAGTAACTAAAGCAGCATTGTCCAGTATAACTTTCAATGAGAATGGAAATTTCCTACTTCCACACAGTCCAATGTAGTCATGACTAACCATATGTAGCTATTGAGTATTCAAAATGTTTAAATAAAATTAAACATTCAATTTGTCTGGAGTATTCTCATTGATGAGTCCATAGCCAAGTATGCTATTAGGATATGGGGCCTGGTTAAAAGAAGTGGGCAACTGGAGGGTATATTTGCCTCCCAGCTGGACCCCTTACTCACTACTTCCTGGCTGCCATGAGGTAAGCAGCCTTCTTCAGCCATGGTTTTCCACCATGCCATGACTGCCTTGGAGCCAGGCAATGATGAACTGAATTCCCTAAAATTGAGAGCCAAGTTAAACCTCTCCCACTGTAAGTTGTGGATTCAGGCATTTTGTCCCAGTAATGAGGCTATCTGACACAAGCTATGACTACTTGTGCAGAATACAATTTGGAGACTGATACAGGAAGAGGGCATTACACTTCTTTCATTATATTGCTTTTAGAAAGAGTTTAAGATCATTCTATAGAAACATATAAGACCTTTTAAATAAAACAGGTCTTTTAAGACCAAGAACATAGCATATCTAGAATAATTTACTAAATATATCACACGTTCATTAAGAAAAATACGAAACAGCAAAATTTAGAATTGAGAAATAATCTATATCAAATTCTTTTAATTCTCTTAGGTAAAATATGTAGCTAAAGAGCTTTGGCAGAATTAGACAAAATCTAACACCATAATTACACTAGAACGCTGAGGTATTTTCACAAAGATATTAAGATTATTAACATAAGCAACTGCATAAGCTGAAGGAAAATAAACGGAATAGTTTTTTTCAAATACCATACCATAGCTGGCCACTGCTTTTCCACCTTTCCTTCTTATTTCTTCAACAACTTTATCAGCTGCTAAGGAGCCTTTACCAACACCCCTGAAGTCCCCTCCTAAATCATTCACTGCAATACAATAGCAAGCAATCAACAATTAATTTCTAGATCTTAAAACATAAATTAGAAATGAAATTCTAATTACTAGTTTATTTCTTCAAATATCTGTCCAATCCCCTCCAGCCCTATCCCCATTTTACTAAACATTCCATAAGGTAGGTATTTTCAAATCATACTTTATCATAAACAACAGAAATACTTAAATATAGGTCATGTCATGAAATTTTAGCTCTGCAATGTTATTCCTCCTTCGAGCCTCTTTTTTTTTTTTTTTTTTTTTTTTTTTCTGTAT